GCGTTTCTGAAAGGCGGGGCATAGAGGAGAAACAATAATGTACAGTATGTGGAAAATAATGTGTTTTTTGAATAATGTATTTTCATTACACCAAATAATGGTCCTTTTAGCAACATCATATGACCCCTTTAAACCAGGGGTCACCAAACTCGGTCCTGGAGGGCCGGTATCCTGCAGAGTTTAGCTCCAACTTGCCTTAACAAACCTGCCTGAAAGTTTCTAGTATGCCTAGTAAGACCTTGATAAGCTGGTTCAGGTGTGCTTGATTAGGGTTGAAGCTAAACTCTGTAGAACACCAGCCATCCAAGACCGAGTTTGGAAACCCCTGCTTTAAACAGACAATTACAGAAAATGCAAAGTAACAGCCAGCAGAGGGTGCCAATTGTTGAAAAATGTGTTGCTCTTATGTCATGCCACATAAACAGTAAAATGATAACCCAAAGAAACCTGTCTCTGGATGAGAGCAGCAGTATTTTAAAGTACCCTTATTATGCCTTTTTGAATATTACCTTTCATGCAGTGTGTCATGTAGCTGTATGTGAACATAAACTATCTGCAAAGTTGTGAAGCCGACAGTTCACTATAAATAAAGTTATTGTCTATAGAAAAAAAAGTCGGCTCGCAATCTCCTAAACGAGTCACCAGGAATTCGAATCTTATTCTGTTACGGCTCTACGTCACAAAGTAACACATTTGATAATGTCTGTGCACGTTCTACGTCGCCAACTTGCCCGCCCACAAACACATTAAATTTCCATGTGGTTAACATCATGTCGAGAAGACGCTTTATCCTACGCTGTGAATAAATTTGTTTTATCACATCTTATAATTACCACAAACTTGTTAACACTTGATACTTACCACTGAGAAACGTCCTGCTCCACTCGTGCTTTCGAATCAGTCTCTTGCCGATCAGCCAGTTCAACCGTTTTATCATCAGACTCCGGCTTGAATTGGTAAGGTGCAATCGATACCATATTTTCTATGTATTGACAAGTCTCCAGGGCTGTCATTCCGTCATGGCAATGGGCGTTTCGTTTCCAACACGCGCTGTACGCGGTAGACCAATCCAGAGCCAATCTCTCTACGGCTCTGGACCAATCACAAAGGACTGCGCCATCTGACCAATCACAGCAGTGAGGGCTCACAGAAAGGAGGGGTTTAGAGAGACTGATTCTTTTAACTGCTTCGCACGAGCCGTTTACGAATCATTTAGAAATTAGGTCAAATTAAATAAATTTTTTTGAGAAAACTAACGTGTTGTTTGACCTTGCATGCATGTAAACCTGTTTTAAGAGACTCATTAAACAATATTAGCAACCTTAAAAATGGCATAATAGGGGCACGTTAATATTCCCTCCTTCAACCTACAGTAAGACTGGAAAGAGTCATTTTCAGAAGCAAACTCACATCGGAGGTGAAAATAGAAGGGTTTCCAGTCTCCAGCATCTCTTCCAATTCCTCATTAGTTGTAATTCGTCCAGCTACAAGATTCAGAGCGTAACAGATCAGTAAAAACAACACTCTTGTCACAAACTCGCCGATCCTGTTTAGGCCATCATTTGTTTGATAAATGTCTGTCTGTGTGTGAATTTGTCAAGGGTAAACATGAAATGATGACCAGCAATTGCTAATAGCGGGTTGCTAGTCCATTTGTATAATTGTTTGGCTTTGTGTCATGGAACAGTGTATGTGTGTACTGTGTGATTGTATGTATGTGTATGTGTGTGTGGTCATGCTAAGTACACCTTGGGGACTATATTGATTCAGCTGGGAAAATGAGAGGGAACATTACAATGGCTGAAACCAACAATATAAAGGCCACTGGAAAAATACACACAAACTTATATAATGTGACCAGCGCACAAATTCATACTCTTATCCACACACACACACACACATCATTGAAATAAAGTCCCCTAACAAAAAATACAACCTTTCAAGGAAATTTGTTTCAAATGCAAAGCTGAGGGGTAACTGGGTCTTTATGCAAATCATGTCAGTCACATGACTGATGACTCATCATCCTATCACATGACATTCTCTGGCCCACTGTGCAGAGGTATAGCAGGATCTCTGGAGCCCTGTTGCCCAGGTAACACTTGCCTTTAGAGTCTCCAGTGACAACCCGCTCCGTTTCATATATTGTAAAGCACAGAAACCTCATTAATCCACTCACACTGGGACTAATTCACAGACACACAGTCTGTTCAGAGGTCTGCACTACAGTACATGTCAGACCACAAGTTACTCAAAATAAATTTCAAATGCAGCATGTCAGGTGAAAAGAGAAGTAGACAAAAATGATTAGGCAATATTTTTTGTCCTTATTGAACAATTCCACAATGAAAAATTTATATTTATTATGAGATTACATTTAACAGTGTTAACAAATTATAAACGATTAAATGATAAATTAGTGTTTTTGACAATTAAGTAAGCATTGAATAATGGTCAAGTAGGGGTGTAACGGTACACAGAAATCATGGTTCAGTACATACCACGGTTTTGGGGTCACGGTTCGATACAAGTTCGGTACAACAGGAAACTTATTTTTTCATTTATTATGAACAGACAGTAGTGCTACATATATGTAGCATGAGCAGTTGTTTTTGTCAATTAGATTGTATAATTTCAAGATTTAAAGGCACAATATGTAATTTTCGCCGCTAGAGGGCACGTATTCAAAATAAACAAAGAGACAAAGGTGTAGTTTGATGACGCAGTGACTGAGTGTGGAATCATGGGAGTTGTCGTTTTCATCCCCACAGCTGATGCAATCCGATGGGACTCGGGCAGAAATCATGTGCACGGATGAGCTAATGATTTATTAATGTAGAAGAATGAAGCAGGGTGAGGCTGAAAGCCGTCGAAGCGAATCGAGGCCGCTGAACAAGCGTGACACACAGCTCGAAAGCAGCGGAGCTTTTATTATGCCACAGTCGACTGCTTCCGCTCCTTCCGGTCGTGTGTATGTGGGGGGGGAAAAAAGCAGTGCTGTTATATCATACTAGCAAAGCCGCAGGAACATATTTTGAGCTGGGGGGGCTGGGGGGGTCACGTGACAAGAGTGATGCGAGAAGACTGACACTATATGATGGCGGATCCAAAGCGCAACTTTTGTTAATAAAACTTTCATTTATTTGTTTAATAGCCTATAAGTGAGTGTCTTTGTTGCTGGGTTTTCATTAAAAAAATAACATGAACCACAAACTAAGCATTCGTTTTAAATAAGGGAAAATGTTTGGGTTACAACGGCTATATCCATCTTATTCATTTTGTCAATGCAAGGTAGATGTTTAATATATGCGAATTTGCCATTGTACTATTTTATGGCTGATGTGTTTTAATTAAATCAGAACAACTTAATACAAACGAATGTCTCATGAATCGATCAATCAGTTTAAAAAAAAAGTAAAAAGAAGACTTTTTTACAAAGTCTCAGCCTACTGTCAATTTTATGATAAAATACAAACAACAAACGTCTTTTTACGCTCTTTAATTTATAGGGAGAATTCGCCTCAGTTCAAGCTGCATATGAATCAATTATATTTTCTTTAATATTTGCAGCACAAAATAAACATGAATATGTGAATGCATGTTGAAACAAATCAGAACAACTTAATACAAACGAATGTCTCATGAATCGATCAATCAGTTTAAAAAAAAAGTAAAAAGAAGACTTTTTTGGCCTATGGGTGGAATTTTCACATTATATAACATGATTTTATTATCTTAATTTTAACTTTATTCTTAAAATATTATGACATTAATTTTATTTATTTAGCTATTTTTAAACATGGCACAAAAATGCTGCCGTATAGGCTACTGAATGCAAACACAATTTTGGCACATCAGCCCAAAAAACAAACAAAAAAATTATAATAAAATAAAAGACAAACAAAAAAAGTCAAAAATAGTGAGGGGATATTTGAATTATTTGTTAA